TGAAGTGTGGACTGTTGAGTCTTGCTATATGGTTAGTATAGCTTTCAACTGATTCTTGTTAGCAGTTGTAGTAAAACGACTTTCATGACTAAAGAGATGATTCTTTTTTTTTTTTTTTTTCTGGTTGTGGGGCCTGACCTCTGGGCCTGGGTGCTGTCCTCAGCTCTTCAGCTCAAGGCTAGCGCTCTACCACTTGAGCCACAGCGCCACTTGCGGCTTTTTCTGCGTATGTGGTGCTGAGGAATCAAACCCAGGGCCTCATGCGTGCAAGGCAAGCACTCTACCACTGAGCCTCCTTCCCAGCCCTAAAGAGATGATTCTAATTAGTATTGGTAACTTTCCTTTGCATAGGTCCTAATCAAACAGGAAATTCAAAGAAAGAGTGGTTATGCCATCCAGGCTGACGAAGAGCAGTTGCGGGTTCAGTTAGATACAATCCAGTGTGAACTAAATGCTCCGACTCAGTTCAAGGTAAACATTTCTAAGATTATAAAGCCAGAGCTTATTTTCACATGGATCTTCAGGAATGTGTTAGTGGTCTTTAAACAAATTTTGTATAGTTGTGTTTATTAATCATTTGTTCTGTTGGGAAAGATTTAATTAAACTCACAGTTGTGATTCTTTTGGCTTGTGTTGGGATTTTAAATAATAAACAGGATAATGACATAAACAATCTTTTTATTCTTTCATTCAAAGCTGGCAATTGACCACTTGAGCCACATAGGACGTGTGGCTCATGCCTGTAATCCTAACCCCTTGGGATGTTTGAATACTCAGGATTGTGATTTGAGGCCAGCCTAGGTATACATGTAAGACCAAAAGCTTCTCAACCAATAGCTGCACGTTGGGATGCCTCTGTCACCCTAGTTAGTTAGAGGCTGCTATTGGGAGGCTCATGGTTCCAGGTAAGCCAGTGCAGAAAAGCCCACTAGACTCCTCTCTCTAAAGAAGAAGCAGAGCATGGTGGCATGCACCTGTCATCCCAGCCACCACAGGAAACAAAAGTCAGATCATGGTTAACATACACCCAGGCAGGAAATTAAACAGTGTAAGAAGGGAAGGCATGCTCGGTGGTACAGCTCTGAATTTAGACCCCTGTGCTGCACAAGAAACATGTGGGTGCTGTTGTTAGCTGCTGTATTCTGATTCATTTTTAGGGCCGGCTAAATGAACTGATGTCCCAGATCAGGATGCAGAATCATTTTGGAGCAGTCAAATCTGAAGAAAGATACTATGTAGATGCAGATCTATTACGAGAAATCAAGCAGGTAGGTGTCACTACAAGTCCAGTGTAGGATAGCTGTTATTCCCAAAGCAAAATAGTCAAGCCCTGGTGGCTCAAATGTAATCCTAGCTATTCAGGAGGCTGAAATCTGAGGATCACAGTTTGAAGCCAGCCCACGCAGGGAAGTCCATGAGACCAGCAAAAGACTGGAAGTGGAGCTATGACTCAGGTGGTGGAATGCTAACCTTGAGTGAAAAAGCTGAGGTCAAGCCCCAAGACCAGCATACACACACAAAATCAGCACTCATGAGAATGTGCTGAAAGCAGAACCTTCATTCCCTGTTGAGGTTCACCTTGCAGGAAGAGGCTGGAAGCCTTGTTTTCATTTGTAGTCTGATGGTAAACTTTGTGGGACATATGTAGTCAGAACTGTTGCCTGCTGTGAGGATTTCAGGGCACATGATTCGGGTATTATATGCTCTAGAATAGGTGGTGTTGTTTTTTATGTTTCTAAAAGCTGTGTTCTTGGAAAATACGTAATTCCATTAAGTTCTTGAAATAAAATTAAACAGTACCAGCATAACACAGCTATATTTTAAAATTTATATATGCAGTAAGAATTTGGAAAATCCTGGCTATCTACTCTATGACCCTGGGCAGCTTACTAACCTGTGTCTTCATTTCCTTAGCTATAGAGTGGAAATTATCCTGAGTACCATAACAGTACTCAGAGGGTTCTAAATGAAGTACAAGCTAATACTAGTAAAGCTGTTAAGATAATACTTAGCACATGGGAAGGACTACTTGAAATGTTAGCAACTATTACCATCACTGAAAATTCTGTTTTCAAAATTAGTGTTTTACTAGTCATCTATATTTAAGTGCTTTGAGTTCTATTTTAATAGTCTTTTGATTTGGTTTGGTCAAAAGTTGGTAAAAGCACTTTAAAGATACAGTGTGTACATATAAAATGATGGGCAGTGATACTTTTGGTGTTTAAATATGCATGCTTGTTATATTCAGGGTAGCTACTAGGTACTGTATTGCTAGTAAAAGAGTAAAATAGTCTCTTAAGTAGCTTAGTTTAAGAGTATATTAATGTTTTATTAACATTTTATTTTCTTTAATTCTAGCATTTGAAACAACAACAGGAAGGCCTTAGCCACTTGATTAGCATCATAAAAGATGACCTAGAAGATATAAAGTTGGTAGAACATGGATTGAATGAAACCATCCACATCAGAGGCGGTGTCTTTAGTTGACAATTAACTTGGATTTTGGGTCTGTAAAATGCTTTCTCTTAATACATCAGGCCTTCCTTAAGATAATCACATGGAAGGAAAAGGAAGGAAGGATCCTCTCCTGTCTGGGATTTTTGAGATTACTGACAAATTCACCTCACAGTTCTTCAAAGATTTCCACCTAAAAGTTTCAGTCACTTAATAAGAGAAGTACATAACTCTCCAAAGTCTATGTACTTTGTACATTTTTACAACAGCTTTGCACGTAATTACAGTGTTTAATTTGTGTATTGGCTGCTGGAGATTTGTTCTTCAGGATGTAAATCAGTTTTTAATCTGTGAGTTCAACTGTGGGAGGAGTAAAGAAAATTCAAAAGTATCTAATGATTAATGTGGTTTTCTTTTTGTTCTATAAAGATTTGAAGTATATTTTTATATTAATTTACAGAACACCTAGACAATTAGGATATAACAAAATTACCATTTCTGCAAGGTTTTTGCTTTTTAAACCTTTTATTTCTAAAAATATGAAAACTTTAAAATAAATTCTTAATTTGTAATTACTTTTGTATAAGTCTGGTTTACTTTATTTAGATTTTGAGAAAGACCATTTATGTCTGTACACAAGCACTAAAATTCGTATTGATAATCTAGTACTTTTAGTCTTAAAATGTCATTTTTCTTAAAATAACCATCTAGGAATGTGAAAGCAGAAAATCGGAGCCGTGCAGTTTTAAACAGTATTTCTGACTGTGTCTATAGACCTGGATTGCATATTGTTGGCACCTCTGGAAATGCTATCAACTTTGTACTTTTGTGTGATGCTTAGGCTTTTAGTGAGAGGCCAAATAAGAAATAGTACCATGGTTCTTGGTATTGTTTCCTGCAGGATTGGTGAGGATGATGCTCAGAATCCATCCTCTGAGCAACTTGAAGTAATTTCTCTTTAGTTGTTGCAGACTAGCTTACAGTTGTGTAGGGTATTAGGAACTTTAAAACTGATCTTTCAACTTAGCTGCTCGAGTTTTGCAGCCACTTTTACTCAATTTATGGCATGCAAATGTGTTCCTGTCCTACTATAAACTACCCCCTTTCACCACATTTCTTACCTATTTCTTGCAATTCCAACAGTGAGGAATTTTTCCTGTATGAATTTTCTCCTCAGAAGATAGGTGTATCTATTCTCATCTACACAGCCAGGTGTATGGAGAGGAGTTTCCATCTCTCTGCACTTTCCTTTACAGTAAGAAGGAAGAACTGTTGGTCCAAATGATGAGAACTGTTATTCACCAAGACAGTCTAGTGAGTGGACTACTAGTCATGCATATGCTGCTCACTAGCCTTTTATTTTTCAAGTCTAGTATTAAGTTCTTCATAGCTAGAAAGGACTTAGGATCTGCCTTCTGAAGACCAGCCCAGTCATCTCCAGCCACTATTCCACTGGCAACTGCATGCCTAAGGCAAGCCTGTGGTCCTGTATGTAACTGCTAAGATACTAATCTCCAGCAATACTATATTGTCTTCTAAGCACTGACAGCCAAGTGCTTTAGACTGAAGATTTCAGATTGAAATCCCAACACTCAGTGTGGTATTAAGAGATGGTGCTTTGTGAGGGGATCAGGTTATGAGAATGGAGCCTTCGGTAAACGGCATTACCCCACTTCTCTTGCCCCTTGGACTAAAAGCTAGGAAGAAGGCCTCCCTCATCAGGAACTACATCTGCAGCACCTACATCTTGCATTTCCCAGTCTCCAGAACTGGGAGCTGTTGATTTCTGTTCTTCATAGGTCATCTAGTCTATGGTATTCTGTTATTACAGCAGTCTAAACAGACTTAAGACGTCAAATTCTAAAAGTGGGTAGGTGGAAGATCCCCTTTAAACCTTAGTACTAATTTGTGTTTCATAACTACTTACTAGAAATTCTGTATATAGCCCTCAGCAGGCTAGTGGTTCTCGAAGAGTCTTCCCTCAAGACTTTGAGTGAGTGGAAACTGGCAGAATGAAAGCACACTGAACACATAACCCCTCATTGAAATTTTCTGTAGCCTTAACACCTTTTTGAAACATTGGCAAAATATGTCTTAGTTACCAAAGCCCAGGCCTAAAATAATCACTAAGAAATGGCAGTTGTAGCTAGAAAATAAAGATCATACTTACTGTAGAACTTTGCTTTTTCTTTGTTTGATATATTTAGTTCCCTGTCTACCTTACTAAGCATGAGATTCAAGGTAGACACTACGTGAAACCTTTTGAGAATTGTTGGGTTTAGTTCATAAATGAAGAGAAAAGATGGAAAAGTAATGGTATTACCTGAAGGTGAAATTCATTCACAGAGATGAGGATATCTTCAAAATGGTGATTCTGGTATTCAATCCATGGTGGCCGCTAGCATTAGCAGTAGACTTTTATGTCCAAGACCAGGACTCACACTCAGTACCTCCAACCGCACCTCCAACCTCAGCAGTAGACATTTTAATACAGAAATATATTTTTTTATTGAATCCAATCAAAAGTATACAGTTTGGGTTTTTTCAATCTTAAGATTAATATAGAAATAAATGAAAAATTAATTTTGTGATGCCAGACTAACTTACAGAATGACAAAATAAATCGTACAGTTCTCATTTTATGAAGTGACTTTGGCCAACAAGTGAGAAACACATGGTTCCTATTGGCCTCCACTGGGATCTATGTAGTGTATTTCAAAGAAAGAGTAAGACCAAAAACAAAACAAAAAACAACCCCACAAAAAACAAAAACAAAAAAAAAAACCATCGAACTATGGGGAAATGAGCTCATTGACAGCAGAAGCGCTGAGTAAAATGACGACTGTCCCAAACGGAAGGAGCATTTTGCCGGAGGATGCAGAGGGATGGCTTTTGGGACTTGGAACAGGAACTGGACCTGCAGCTGCTGTAATGAGAACACACAGTCACTGATCATTTCTGCCATCAAGTACTGTCTGCCTATGCCATATATCCTGAAACAACAGGGGAGGCAGAGACTTTGGCTTATTACAGGTTTCAGAGTACATTTCATCTTATAAGGACATGCTATTCTGGCTTTTACCTTGGATTCCCTAGGCATTGAAACCTCTGTGGCCAAGACTTTTTTTTCTAATTAGCAATAGTAGGGTTTGAAAACTTGGCCTTACACTTGTTTTGCTGGGGCTCTGACCTTTGCTAGTTATTCTGGAGACAGCCAGGCTGGCTTTGAACCTTTATCCTCCAGATTTCTACATGAGGTACCAGCAGTTCAAGTTCTCTAAAATATCTTAAGAATTTTCCATTTCAATTTTCCAGCAAGTCTGTTTCCTATTTCAAAGAAGACACAGGCATATTCAAACAGCTGTCTGTATACAGTTGTTAAGTCCTACAAGCTGATAGAACAGTTTGCTACACACATACCTGTGGAGAAGCTGCTTCCCTTTCATCTTAGCTAGTGAAGAGGAGCAGTGGAGACCACCTATAGGATCATCTGCTTTACACCTAACACCCTGGTTTATAACTATGGTTTGTGTTATAAGTATTATCTAAGCGTTTACTAGAGGTTTCTCTGCATAGGATAACCAGTCATAGTTTCTAAGTGAAAAAGAGAAATAGCCAGTACATTTTATAGGCACCTTCATAGCAACTTACTTACATAGTTACATAAACATGCAGTTACATGCAAGACAGAAATGGATGGGTAGATACACATGCATTGCTGTTAGTATTTTACTTCAGACCAGTGGTTCTCAAGTTGATAGAGACAGTTTGGACAACTGTCAAAAGGAATTTTGTTTATTTTGCAGTACTGGGGACAGCCTTATTAGGCAAGTGCTAAGCTACTGCGCCAACATCCTCAGCCTTTTATCCCACTTTTTGTTTTGATAAGGGTCTGGCCTCAAGTTTGCAATCCTACCCCAGTCTCTTGAGTATTTTGGATTACAGTGCCACCATTCCTAAAAAAAAAATTTTTTTAAATTTCAATTGCAACAAGAGAGGAGATAGAAGGCTACATATCCTGAATGCTCCAGACAGTCCTGCACAATGAAAGTGCAGACTGCTTCCTGTGCAGCTTGCAATACATGAAGCCACACTTTAATGACCTTATAGCAGCATCACATATAAAAAGTATTTTCTAAGCTGGCCACTGGTGGCTCATGCCTGTAATCCCAGCTATTCAGGAGGCTGAGATCTGAGAATTTCAGTATGAAAACAGCTCAGGCAGGAAAGAGTGACTTCAGTTACCCACAAAACAAAACATGGCAGAGTTCTAACCTTGAGCAAAGAAGCTCAGGTACAGTACCCAGGCTTTGAGTTTGAGTCTCAGGAGTAGCCAGATGTCAGTGGCTCACATCTGTAATCCTAGCTAAGATCTGAAGATTGTGGTTCAAAGCCAGCCTAGGCAGAAAGTCCAAGACTTATCTCCAAATAAACCACCAGAAAACTGAAGTAGAGCTGTGGCTCAAAGTAGTAGAGCACTAGTCTACAGTGAAAAAAGCTCAGGGACAGTGCCCAGGCCCTAAGTTCAAGCCTTATGGCCAACAAAATAAAGTAAAAATAAATGGTAATCCCTCTGTATACTATCTTAATAATAAAATTATACTTAAAACATAAATACATAGTATTCTCTGATAACGGTTTTTCTTCTTTTGGGGAGGGGGAAGAACTGAGGCTTAAACCCTGGGCTTCATACTAGCCAGAAACTGCTCTATTACCAAGCCACACCCTCTGCCCTTTAAGTGTGGACTGCAATCCTACTTATGCCTACCCTCTTAGTCTTTACCTCCTGGATAGCTGGGATTACAGGCATGAGTCAGAATACCCAGCCTCTGACAGTTTTAATAAGCATTGAGCATATTACCTGCTGTTCCCTGTTTTTCTTTGCTTTGATATATTTCTTGTATAGCGTATCTTCCAATCTTAAATCCAAATGTATTTACATAAGTAAATGTAAGCATCTACTTCACTGAGTCAGTATAAATATTTTTATATTGACATTGTCATTTTTGTCATAAATTGTAGTCAGGACATACTATATGGTACAGGTATGTCTTATCTATAGACCTGATCTCAGGATAATCTATAAAGACATCATAAAAATATTTGCTATTTTGAAAGGATTTCCTGGTTGAAAGGATTGAGAACCACTGTGCTGAACAGTATAGTTCTACATACTGAAAAAAATTAAAAAATCATTACTTTAGAAACAAAATCAAGCAAGTTACCTATATCACAAACATGCATGTAAACATTTGAGCATGTCATTATACTCATTCCTTAAACCCTGGTAACTTTCTCTTGTTGAAGAAAAGTTACAATTTTCACCTTTTCTATATTGCAGAAACACTTATCAAATGAAGAAATATTTCTTACTAGGATTGTCGATGTTTATTTGACTTCTTTCTCCTAAAAATACAAAGAGATTTTGAGTTAACTGCATTATGCATCTACTTATCCAGAAAAAAAGACCTGATTAAAGAATCTGAATGGCCCGAGGAGCAGACCCACTCTTGGCTTGAAAGCCAAATGCCAATTCTAGGAGCCCGGGATAAAGATGTAGCTAACAAAATCTGGATGAAAGACAAGTTATGTGACAGAAAGTGAACAACACTTGGAATGTTTGAGTCCTGGTTGTCTCTTTCTAGTCCCATACAAATTTCTTAATCTTCCTGTGTGCTACGTCCTCATCTCCGAAGTGGCAAGGACAGTGTTTCATTGGATAAATGGGATCTTGAACATTATTCTGACATGTTAAAATAGCCTGCACTGCACAGAGCCTTCCAGAAGAGGGCACTATACAGCACAGCTTGAGCTAATCTAGGTGTGTATTGGTTGCCTGGTGTGTCCCAGGCATTGCATGGCTGGCCCAACATTAGGATGTTTTGTAGATCTCAGTCTTACTTTCTAATGATGACATTCCCTCCCAGCTACAGCTCAGCCTAGGAAGCCTTCTGCCTCATTCTAGAAGACCAGCACAGCTGGACAGCAACTGCTCATTTCTAGTCAAGCACTTTTCTTTACTTGGCCCAGAGAGCCTTAATATTAGCAGCCCACTGCTAATGCTGAAATGAGTTCTCAGTATTTTCCTCTCCAACATTCAACCAGGGAGATAAGAAATGGTACAGCTTAGACATCCTCCCCAGGCCCCTTCCACCTGCACTAACTGAACGATAAGAGCAAAGGACTTAGAACCCCATGTGCCAACAAAGGATTTATTACCAGGTTTTTCATCTGGATGGACCACTTTTATTCCTAAATGGGAAAAAAATGATTGTTAATTAATCATGACAGCCACCATTAATTATTTTACTACTGTTCCTTCTCTAAGCTACTTTATTTGATTAGTTTCTTAACTAGTCTTAAAATGACAGAATTGGGGGATGTGCACACGACTAGAGGAGGAAGGGTTAGCAAATGTCATTATACTCAATGCATATTATGTAGAAACTTAACTGTGTCTACTTGGAACTGGAGGGAGGACACTGACCAAGAAGCACTGTACTCACAACTTCATAAGGCATTGTTACCCCTTCGTACAACTACTTAACAACAACAACAATAAAGACAAATACCTTCATTTGATATATGGAGAAGCAGAGTCACAGAAAAGTGAAGTAACAAAGAGCCATAGCAAAGTGCATAGAAGAGACCTACTGAAGCAGCCTACACAGCCCATGTTCACCCCCACAAGCAACCCTAGAGACTACACACACTTGCACACTCGGGTCCAGAGAGTGGAAGGTATGAAGGAAAACATGGGATGTCAATCAGTATCATAACTTTCAAGCTGTGGCCAGGACATAGAACACCTGTCTAGCCAGGGCAAGGTCCTGAGTCAAACCCCAGTATCATAAAAGATAAAGAAGCTGTGGCCAAACGCATCCACGCATACGACTCTGGGTGAGAGTAAAAGAATTGGTTCATTAAACTGTTGTCACTATGCTGATAGTGCACACAGCATGCAATTTCCACAGACAGCAATGCCAAGCAATGCTCAGCCCAATGGGCATGGAAGTAATTTAGATTTCTGGTTGTGAAAAATCTGATTTAACCGATGATCATTCCCATACTTAATAAGAGCTACACAAAATTACTTTCACTTTTTGACTACATGAACTCAGGAGAAATTATTGTAAGCAGTAGATTGGGGCTCACACACCTCAAAGTTTGCTATTTTATATTCCTTCAGATACTCCCATGAGATAAATATGACAAGTGCAGGCCACATTTGAAAGACAATTCTGAGGCCAACCCCCTCCCCCCTCCAAAAAAACTGTCATCACTAACCAGAGCGCTGGTGAATATTCATATTTTTTGTCTTTCATACTTCTCTTGTGTCAGGAAGAAATAAATCTGGGGAGCTTCCCCACACACACACCTGTAAGCTGAGTTCTATGGGTCATCTGAGGAGCTGCCTGGAGTCACCGCTCAGTTGCTCTGGCCACACAAGCTCAAGGCCTTCCAGTGACCTGCCCTCAGCTCCAGCCCTAGCTTTTAAAAACAGCCATTTTCCGGTCATATAGTAAAGGTAGATTAACTCTGTTGTGGTGCACGTGGCCAAGTTAAGAGATGTGGGTGCTCCACTGCCTGATGCGGTGGTGAGCACAGTTCTGAGGCTCCTCGCTTGTCTGACAGTGACACCTATCTGTCCATTCTGAATCTTCCCCCCCCCCACCCCCGCCGCCTACCATTGCTTACCAGGTAGTGGAAAAGGTTCTGCAACTGTCATTCCTAAATAATAAAGAAATGTTCGATGACTTGAAGTTTGCGCTGGTTAAGTACAAATTTTAAATTCTTATATAATGAGCTCAAGACATACAAGTCCCACTGAACATGGCAGTTTGCAGAAGTTCTGATGGAAAACTTCTGGCTCCATCAACCCTCATGGTGCTCAGAGGAGTCTTCTGCCATAGCCCTGCCCTGTGCCCATGCCATGCCAATACTGTTGTGTGACTTGGAGACACTGAAGCCAATAGCTGTGCAGAGCACTGACGTTCCTGCTGAGCATCTTTACACACGGAACAGGTTGGGTGCTGGCTCCACCGCTTCCTGGCCCCCAGCCATGCCTCCCCGCCCCCCAGGCCAACTTCCCGCCTGCGAGGCTGCACGGGAATGGAACACTCTCCACACTCTTCCTCAGCTAACTACCCCACAGGATAAGGGACATAACAGAGAAGGTTGTTTCTTGACAATATTCTCTTCAATGCCAAGTACACTCATGCTCATGTGGGGCTCAGAGACTCAAGGAAGAGCTTTCTTACCAGGTGCTTCGGTAGATTCTAGACTTTTCTTATCTAAAGACAGAAAACATACAATTAATCAGTGTTAATCCGTTATCTTATCCTGCTTACACTCCTCTTGGTACTTCCCAGGTTCCCACTTCAGAAAAATAGAAGACAGACGGCAACAACAAAACACAATCCAGACTCATCATCTTCCAACTCCTTAACTAGACTGGAAGCGCATCAGTGATCTGGCCTGTACCTCCAGCAGCCTTGTCTTTATGAGGCAGCCCTTGAATCTGGTCTACAGGCAACAGGCCTGGGGTGACATCTGTGTTTGGTTAAGCTTCATTGCCATCACTGCTATTAGCTCTAGGCGACTCAGTCCTTTTTTTTTTTTCTGTCCTAGGGTTTGAATCCAGGGTCTGGGCACTGTCTTTGGGCTTCTTGCTTCTTCATCTCAAGTCTAACACTCTACTACTTAAGCCACAGCTTCACTTTTTTTTTTTTTTTACTAGTTTATTGGAGGTAAGATTTTCTTGCCCAGTTTGGCTTTGAACCATGATCCTCAGATCTCAGCCTCCTGATTAGCTAGGATTACAGGCGTGAGCCATGAGCACCCAGCAGTACTCAGTCCATATAAACTTATTTATGCCAAAGAAACAACCTGTAGGCTTATAAGTGAGGATTAAAGGAACTACTACATAAAAATGCTTGGTGCAGGGCTGGGAAGATGGCTCAGTGGTAGAGCACTTGCCTTGCATGCATGAGGCCCTGGGTTCGATTCCTCAGCACCACATAAGCAAAAAGAAAAAAGCCGGAATTGGCACTGTGGCTCAAGTGGTAGAGCGCTAGCCTTGAGCTGAAGAGCTGAGGGACAGCGCCCAGGCCCAGAGTTCAGGCCCCATGACCGACCAAAACACAAAAAACAAAAAACAAACTTTTATGACAGAGACACTAACTACTAGAGTCAGCTACTGCAGGACTGGAAATTAGAAATTGATTGCTTCCAGAACCTGCTAATTTGTAATCTTTAGTTTTCAAACCCAGAAAGTCTGGTGGTCTTTAAATAACACCAATGTGTGGGCCGAGGATTTTCTGATTCTGTTCCTTCATTAGAAGTGGTATAATGTTTATTCTGCAGGAAGTAATGTTTTTCTCTAGGCTGGCTTCAAAAACGAAGATAGGCTATCTGAAGGCTATGCAGCAGGCCCCCAGTCAGTGGGAGATGGTAACTCTACTACCCTCTTTCTTCCCTGTAAAAGCTCCTTCACAGTTACAATATTCAATGTATGTAACTTGAGGGGACAGGAGGATGATGGGAGGGGCGATATTGATCAAGAGGAATTGTACTTATAAACAGACATGTTGAATGGAAACCCTTTGTACAACTACTTAAAGATAATAAAAAAATTAACGTAAAAAGATAAAATAAAAAGGCCCTTCGCATACCTGAGTCCCTTAAGATGAGGCTTTGAGAGAATAGCTCTACCCCCTGCCCGACCCCTTTTCTGAGGGCTCAGGCCCTTGAATAAACTTCATTTCCTCTCCAGTAACTCGTACCTCCTGAGTGTTAGCCTTCCAGAGGAAGGAGGATGACTTGGTACAGAAGCAAAAGCAAAATTTACCCTTGAATCAATGGTGGTTGACAGTAGAAGAGTACAATGGTGGCCCCGCTCCGAATCAGTAACACTGAGAAGATTCCCATTACCGCTACAGAGATAATTGCTTAAAGTATATTTTACCTGGATTCTTGAGACAACTTTCACTTTTTAGTCCTGAAACATAAAGATAAAACTTTAGATACAATATAGTCTAGTAAAAAATTTTAATTAATCTGTGCTTATTGTTAATTGAATCAATCCGTCAACTTCTAGTCTCAGACTAGTATCAGACTCATAACTTACTGGAATACAAATTTCAGGAAAAAAATACTTTTTAAAAATTCATCCAGCCACCAAATAGTGTAGACTTTTGATAAAATACATACCGCCTTTGGTGGTATCCACGGAAACAGCTACAAAGTGTATCTTTTCTAACTAAGATGACTGCAGTTTTATGAGAAAGTGACTTTCTCAAAGGACCCTTTTAAGTTGACCCATCTAAGCTGGATTTTAATTTCTGACCCACACCAACTGTAAGATAATAAATGTTTTAAGTTGCTAAATTTCAGAGTAATCTGTTATGTGATAACACATGACTAATACAATTTAAAGATTAGTTATTTGTCTACACTACAACCACTCCTCACACTCATCTAGGTGTTACTAAGAAGATATTTTATAGATATGCTTGAAATCTAAAGTCAACTAACAAAGTAACGGAGCTTATCAAAGATAATGGTTAATGTGTTAGGTGATGGTAGCTCACATCTGTAATCCTAGCTACTCAAGAGGCTGAGATCTGAGGATCGAAGTTCAAAGCCAGCCCATGCAGGAAAGTCTGTGAGACTCTTATCTCCAATTAACCACCAAAAAACCAGAAGTGGCGCTGTGGCTCAAGTGGTAGAGTGCTCGCTTAGAGCTAAAATGCTGAGGGACAATACCTAGGCAACCAACAAAAAAAGAAAAAAGAAAAAAAAAGATAAAGATAATGTGTTCACATCTGATTCAATCAACTTGAACACTCTAGAAGACGGGCTGATGCTTCTCAAAAGAAGAAATTATAGGATGGATGGTAAATAGTTTTGAAATGCACAACTATAAATGAAGGAGGCATAAAGAAACCTCAGTAAATGGTTGCTCAGAAGGCGTTTAGGGGAACAGGGAAAGTAAATATTTCCTATGAATATAAAGAACCAATAGAGCCTTCTAAATTGTCTAGGCACTGACTCCCAGTGGGGTTGGCATGTCACTTCCTGTCTTTGCTGTGCAGACGGATGTCCAGACAGTTTCAGACAACAGAACAGAAACTGCTTCTCCTGGGAAATGCCAATGGGTATCCGTCAGAACCAATAAAGATACATATATTTAGTAAGCTCTCAGGGTCTGAGAGCAGACTTAAAGAAAGAAATCTTAGCTAGGTGCTGGTGGCTCAGGATTGTAATCCTACCTACTGAGGAGGCTGAGACTTAAAGATCACAGTTCGAAAGCAATCCAGGCAGTAAGGTCTGTGAGACTCTTATCTCTATTAAAACTACCAAAAGAGCCTGAAGTGGAGCTTTGGATCAAGTGATAGAGCAAAAGAAGCTCAGGGACAGCACCCAGGCCCTGAGTTCAAGCCCCAGGACTGGCACCACAAAAAGAAAATGAAAAAGAAAAAAAGAAATCTTGGTAGCCCCATAGGTTTAGCATCTTTCGCCCTTTTGATGGCTTAGCAGAAAGCTTGCTCAGGAAGCCTCAATAAACTCAACAAAGTGGCAGACACAGCCTCTAGCTAGGTCCAGAGGCAGCTCCTTTCTAACAAGACTGCTTTTCAACTAGAAAGCATTCTTACTTCCTCCTCCCCTGGGTAAGATATATGAGAGTGTTACACAGCCTGCTCCTCCCTATAGAAACAGAGGTGTCTATATCCATCCTCTTCATTATAATGATGAATTCAATCCAGGCCCCGTAAGTAGCTCATGCCTGGAATCCTAAATACTTAGGAGGCTGAGATCTGAGCATTGCAGTTTGAAACCAGTCCAGGTAGGAAAGGCCATGAGACTCTTACCTCCAATAAACTACTCGGAAAAAAGGCAGAAGTGGTGCTGTGGTTCAAGTGATAGAGCCCTAGCCTTGAGAACAAAGAAACTCAGGGACAGTGCCCAGACCTTGAGTTCAAGTCGCAGGACTGGCCTCCCACTTCAAAATGAATTCAGGAAATCATGTGCTTTACTCTCTCTGCTTACAAGTCTGATAAACCTGTCATATTTGCATTATAGGGTACAGTACAGGGACTCTAAAAACCATAGTCTTCCAGTAGGAATTTGTAATTCATTCTCCTAATCCAGTTGGTTTTTCAGTGAATCCTTTATTCATTTATTTTTATCATTTATCTTTATCATTTATTTATCTTGCTGGTCATGGGGCTTGAACTTTGCACCTGGGTGCTATTCCTGAGCTCTTCAGCTTAAGGCTAGCACTCTACCATTTGAGCCACAGCGCCACTTCTGGATTTTTCTGTTTATGTGGTACTGAGGAATTGAACTCAGGACTTCATGCATGCTAGACAAGCACTCTACACTGAGCCACATTCCCAGCCCAAGTGAGCCACTTTTACAAGTTTAGTTTGATTATACAGCTGATATTCTACCTTTTTTAGGTTTTCTAGAAAAATAATTTCAAAGCTGGTTAGCCTGCAGCAAATTTCACTTAGAGCCAGGTTCTGGTGGCTTATGCCTTTAATCCTAGCTACTCAGGAGGCTGAGATCTAAGGATCACAATTCAAAGCCAGCTCTGGCAGGAAAGTTTGTGAGAATCTTATCTCCAATTAACACCACAAAAAACCCACCAGTGAAGCTGCAGCTTAATTCATACAGCCTTGAGCAAAAAAGCTCAGGGTCTGCATCCAGGCCCTGAGTTTAAACGCTGGGACTGGCACACATTTGCACACATGTGCACACACAAACAAAACAAAAGTACCCCTTTTAGAAACTCTCTTTTCTCACCCAGAAGCACAGTTACATCCTACTCTAGGGAACACAATTCTGATTGAATCCCGAAGACTAGTCACCTTAAACAGCTCTGCTGTTGTGCTAGGCATGGAACACAGGGACTCTCTAAGGGTTGGTTCACATGTTATTGCTGATCCCCAGAAAGACACGGTTTGGACCCTGCATTCCCCTTAGTTACCTGTAGGTGTCAGCAGAGGACTCCAGTCTTCAGTTAAATTCCATATAAATAAATTCCAGTTCCACAGCTTCAATCACATACTGTAGGGCAGAGGCTGATTTGGTCAGTGCTCATCAACAGACTAACCACAAAGTCTCCCTTTGTGGTTAGTCTGAACATTTAGCTGCTGTGTAGCCTCTGGCCATTTCCTTTCCCCTTTCATTTGTGAAAGCGTATTAACTCCATGTGGGTCTGAGCCCTGGCTCAGAATCCATCTAATGGCTGCATCTCTTTTATTCTATGCACAGATACAGTCTGTGGGTTTCACTGCCCACTGCAGCCCATCAAGTAGGCACCAGTGCTGTCCTTTGTACTCAGGACTTTTTTTTGGGGGGGGGGCAGTTGTGGAGCCTGAACTCTGGGCCTGGGCGCTGTCCCTCAGCTCTTCACCTCAAGGCTAGCACTCTACCACTTGAGCCACAGCACCACTTCCGACTTTTTTCTTTTTTCTTATGTGGTGCTGAGGAATCGAACCCAGGGCCTCAGGCCTGCAAGGCAAGTGCTCTACCACTGAGCCACTTTCCCAGCCCCAATGTACCCAGGACTTTTTATCTAACCAATGCCTCCATGGAGCATACAAAGAGATAGTTTCTGTCATCTCTACAACTTGGTTTCTGCTTATGATAGACTAGTGAAAGTTAACATTGGGGGGAGGGGGTAGTTTTTGCTGATTTCCGCCACACAGCGCCACTAGTGCTCCTGAGGGAGGCAGAGTGCGCAGGGTCCCTGCAGGGCAATAAACAAAATGTGCTCTCTACCGTTACCAGTAAACCTGACAAAACTGGGCATGTGCAGATTCCCATCTGTTATAGCAGCTCCACTTGTCAACTGATGTGTTCATCAGAGAAACAAATCACCACCCAACCCCACCCAATGACCCGCCCTTCTGAGTTTTGTTTCTTATATTGATGTCAATCCTGGGGCTTGAACTCTAGGCCTGGGCAGTCTCTTGAGTTTTATTGTCCAAGGACAGCACTCTACCACTTGAGCCCACAGATGCCCTTCCAGCTTTGTGATGATTAACAGGAAATAAGAGTCTCAGGGACTTTCCTATCCTATCAGAGCTGGCTTGGAACAGAGATCCTCCGGTCTTAGTCTCGGAGAAGCTACATTACAGGATTACACCTGTGAGCTCCACCCAGCTCCACCCCTCTGTTTTGATCCCTCCATAAAAGGAGAGGAACTAAAGCTTTGCACTTCATTCTCAGCATCTTTATCTGCTGCTGGGGTGCACTTTCTCTTTCCTACAAACTTCACTGCAAATTGTGTCCCACTCCTTTAAGAACACATGGAACCAAGTTCCAAGACCTCAGGAATAGGAGGTAACTAATGTCCTTGCACAAATTGAACTGAAGTGGTGCTCTATTACTTGAGGGGAGCCTGCTCCTTGCTCACCCTGCCCCCATACTCTCATGGTGTAAGGTTTGGAGAAAGGAGACCTCCACGTGGCTGTTCAGGTGGACAAGACTTCATTGTAAGAACAGAACCAGCCAGACCACACCAGATGGAGGTGTGCAGAGGGGCAACTTCCAGCAGGGACAAAAGGTTCTATAGGGAGAGGGCAGGAGGAGATGCGGCCACAGCGGATGTGGAAGTGACCTCAGAGGAAGCAGTGTCCTCAGAGTCTAGGGGACCTCCCACTGCCCCCAGGCACCAGTTTCCTGGGTTACAGGTGCTGGGTAGAGACTTCTAGAGAGGACCAAATTGTGCACAGAGGGAGAACAAAGGAGAAGGGGTCGTTTTTCCAAGTGGACCTAGCAATGAAGAGTGTTGTTACTTTGGGAAGCCTTTTTCTGTCTCACTTACTACATTTCACATCTTGTATGAGTTCTTCTGTTGGCGAGGTTAATGGCTGCCCTGACTTCCTGTAATGCTATCTCCACTTCCTGTGGTCTCAGTTATCTGTGATCAAACCATCTAAAATATTCATCCAAGAGAAAGAAAGCATTCACATAACGTCCAATAGAGCATATTGTTATAATTATCAGTTGTTTTTACTTTATTTTATTTTTTGGTCATGGGGCTTTAACTCTGGGCCTGGGCGCTGTCCCTCAGCTTCAAGGCTAGCACTCTACCACTTAAGATACAGTGCCACTTCCGGTTTTCTGGTGGTTTATTGGCGATAAGAGTCTCATGGACTTTCCTGCCCAGGCTGGCTTTGAAACACAATCTTGAGATCTCGGCCTCCTGAGTAGCTAGGATTACAGGCGTGAGCCACCAGCACCTGGCTTGTTTTTAATATCTTATTCATCTAACTTAGAAGTTAAACTTTGGCATCACATGTATGTATGTATAGGGAAATTATTATATATAGGGTTTGGCTTCAGGAATCCTGGGGGGTCTTGGAACATAGCCCTCCAATAAGGAGATGGGAATATGTAACTGGGCTTTGGCCAGTTTTTGAGCTACTGTTATTTAAGAGAAACTTGAAAGAAGATGGGTGCCTACAATTAGTTCCCATGAGCTAATTAATTGGCTGGCTCTAGTGGGCTTGGTTTGGATCAAGTCCAATAAGTAGTTGGTTGGTCCTTTCAACATTAACTTACCCATTCCAGCCAGTCATGATGGTACACACATGTAATCTCAATACTCTGAAGGCAGAGGCAAGAGGATCACAAGTTTAAAGGTCGGTCAGCCTGGGCTACATGGCAAGTTCTTGGCCAGCCTGAGTTACCTGGTAAGACTTTGCCTAGACACAAAAACGAAGTGTGTTTCCACCCTCAGCCTCCATGAGGAGTCACTTAAATGCTATTCAAATGTAGGACTAAAGCGAGACTAAGGAGGCATAAAATTTAAGGAGGCGCTAACTCTTAAGATCATTCAAGGGGCTAGGAAGGTGGCTCAGTGGTAGAGCACTTGCCTTGCATGCATGAGGCCCTGGGTTCGATTCCTTAGCACCACATAAGCAGAAAAAGCCAGCAGTGGTGCTGTGGCTCAAGTGGTAGAGCACTAGCCTTGAGCTGAAGAGCTGAGGGACAGCGCCCAGGCCCAGAGTTCAGGCCCATGACTGACAAAAAAAAAAAAAAAAAGGAGAGAAAGATCATTCAAGTGCAGGTGGAATAAGACCCTGAGAGTGAGTGCTTCCTTAAACATTGCCCTCCTCTGCACCTAGATGGCCAGCCCAGCCCCAGCCCCAGCCCCAGCCCCAGCCCCAGCCCCAGCCCCAACCCCAGCCGGCTGAAGGCTCCCCAGCACTTCCCTACTATTGTTTTCTCACAGTACTTCAGGCACACAGTCAAGGCAGAAAAGCCTATCCATCCAGTATATCTCTGAGGCCAATACAAGAGATCACTGCTTGACCCAGCAACAACAGATTTGGGTTCTGCTATCCAACCATACTCCCAAGGCTAACTCCTCACCAGTTTGCTGAGTTTTAGAGAAGAATGAAGATAGTGAACACAGCATAGTGTCTGAAGCAGGACAACACCAGACACAGGTCAACACAAGTCCTCACAATCCTTTAGGAATATTAAAATATTCTTCCCCACAACCCCTAACATCTCAGTTACAAGGAAATAAGATTATTTAAGGATGCAGGAGCCTCCCTAGTTCAATAGTCTAGACGTTACAGAACTGAATTGGTCCAAGAGTCCTATTCATCTCCCTGTAGCTGACCTGGACACACAGCACCACACTCAGGAAAACCTAAAACTACAGCTCTCCCCACCCCAAGTATTTATAGTTCATTCATAATCCTCCCAGCTCAGATGCTCTTTACCAATCTAGCATTTTGTTTACTCTCAACAGTGTTGATGGTTACACTGCTGCAAATTATAGAGGAAACCGTGATAGATCAACAGAAGGCCATTTCCCTAAGAGAAAGAGATTTGATTAACCCTTTACTCACATACATCAAGGCAAAAAACCTTTGGGTTTCATACCTTTGGGACTAAACAAAACATCCTAAACCTTCCAGAAGAAAAGAACAAGTCTTGGGCTAGTGGATGTAGCTCAATGGCGAACTGCTTTTCTAGAAGGTACAAGGCCCTAGGTTTGATCCCTAGCACCATAAAACAAAACAACAAAAAATTCCCATAACAGGTGTCACTGAAGTTTAGTGACTAGAATAGAGATGTACTTTTAACAACAGCTCCAGAATGCAGAAATCACTCAAGGGACATCTTTCAAATTCCAAAGGAAAATAATTTCTAAAACAGAAGTGCAAATCTACAAAAACTATCATTCAGGCTTAAAAGTAGATTTTCAGTCTTAGAAAAGTTTCCCCAATGTACCATTTCTCAGAAAACATCTGCAGACCCTCCCTGCTGCCAGTACTCTGTCCCACCAAACAAAATAGTAATGGAAGACAGAGGTACAAATCCAAGACACGGGATCTTTCACAAGGGAGAAGTCAAGTCTCCGAGTGGTAGTGTGGAGAGATCTCAGGATATTTTGCAGAGAATATCACAGAGTTGCATGTTAGGAGCAGCCTGGGATGGGTACGGGGTACATTCAGGGGAGAATGGGAGCAGGAAAAGAGGAGAACGAAAATGAGGGACAAGAGACAATCTGATTTATTTAAATGTATTATGAGATTTCTGTCAAAGGTCTTTGAGGTAAATTAATTATAGGATATACAAAGCCAAAGAAACAAAACTGTCACTAACCCTGGGGGAAAGAGGTACTTAAGCATAGCAAACAGCTCTTGGTTTAGCTGATTAGTCTTGACTCCACTGGGAGAAGTGGAGTGGGGGGGGGGGGGATGCACATGTTAGGAAAGAGGATGGTAGTTGTCAAATATATTGAATAAAGTGACCTAACAATCATTTCCTTCCTCTCGCTCTCCTCCCCTTACTCCTCCTCATCTTCTTTTGAGAGAGGATCTCCTTATGTATCTCAGGTGGCCTTGTTCCTTCTCCTGGCTCTTCCTCCTGAGCTCTGGTATGATGGGCATGTGCCACCATGCCTGGTCCCCTAATAGCCATTTCTAATTCTCTTCTGCTTCCTGTACACTTGAAAGCTAACAAGCTAATTAATTATCCCTTGCCTTCCCAAGACTTTCTTGTAGCTATGAGTGACCAAGAAACTTTGCTCTTAAAGCTTTTTCTCAAAAGCCTTTTAGTAGACTTTACTTTTTACTAAATTGGTAGCTCTGTCTATCACCTACTTCTTTGCTCTAGAGGTGGACTGATCCTAGACAGGCAATAGTTCATACTGTTGCATGAACCCACAATCCAACACTGGAGGAACAGGAAGACAGGAAGAGCCTGATTTGCTGAGGATGGAGATGAGCCACTGAATTAGATAGTCTCGCTCTACACTGATGAAAACGATCAGTCAGGTTTTCTGTTAAGGAGGAAAGCAATGAAGGCTTCTTATCAGAAACATGGAACATGAGGACAAAATAGTTCCGTTAGTGGGGATTCAAGAGACATGTTTACTTTTTTAAAATACACAACTGAATGCTGAGTGAAGCATGCTATTTACTCAGTTAATACTTGAAAAAATAAAATAATTAAAAATGGACACCATGGAGGAGACAAAGCCGGAGATAGATGGGGCAGGGACTGTTACATTTCATAATAAATTGTATATCACAAACCTTACATCATAAACCTACAGTTTGTCCACACCAGCAGTATTGACAATTAGGGCTAGATAATTATTTGCTCTTTGTGGGTGGGGCTTAGCTGACTCTACCCATTATATGCTAATAGCAATCCCACCTACTCCCCAGTTGTAACAAGGTTTCCTCTTTCTTCCAGACCACAGCCAAAAGACCCTGCAGGATAAACTTGCCTGTTTGAAAACTACTGCCCTATGACACTGCTGTTTGATTTTTTTTTAGTTTTATTCATACTTTTAGTACGATGTGATGGCTAACCACACGCAACAGGGGAGTATGGAAACTGCCTCATTTCTCTTTCAAACACCTCTCTCTTTTACCTGACCCCTTCCTGGGTCTCACCTCAACTCCTGCCCTCCCAGAGAGCGAGACACAGATACACTTACCACCTAGAAATGAGCACTCATAATGGCTGCAGGTCTTGTTTGTGCTTTGAAGGATAAGATTCTTTCCAGTCCCTTCTTGTGACACTTGAAAAACCTCATTCAACGGTATTAAAACAATTCTTTCACTTTTTTTATCCACAAATTTCTCCACGGCAACTCCAAAGCATGTATGGATGGTTAGCACAACGTACTGGTCATTAGCTGCCTGAGGTTTGGCTGAATATGCCAGCGTGAAGTTGCCCAGCCTGGCTTGGTGTAGAGCAGCAGAGGTAAAGGTGGCGTCCGGACTTGATGCGTACACCACGGCTTTGTAACTCTCTTCACAGCGCCTTCGCAGCAACTGCAGCGCTCTGGTCAGGTAGAAATGAAAAGCTTTGAACTGGAAGTCATAGATATACTCTTTCCGAGATTTCCCAGCTATCTCCACAGCTTTGTTGAACAGATGATAAAAGGGAGTTTGTTCTTGAGCCGCAGAAATGTATGCCACTAAGGCTATCCCATGGTTATCCTTAAAACTCCTAGGGACAGAGACCTGAGTCTTCAGGGTTTCCCATTTGGTTTTGCCATTTTCCCATGCAGCCTGGAAGAGTTGATGGTTTGCTTTCTCCTCCTCCAGCAGTTGGGGGACATATTTCATTTCCATCCTGTTAGAACATTTCAGGTATTCATCATCAAATGCATTGTCAGCCATGTCTAACATCTCAACCTTCACCTTCAAAAGAAAAGGAAAGTAATACTCTTAAAATAAGATATTTAGTAAATACAATCTTCTCTCGTGTTATTAGCCCTACCCTCTCTTCCCCAGCAGAGAATCTCTCCTTACTTTAACTAGCTTTGGATATAATTTTGATGAAGTATGCTCCATGGCTACTGATAACTCTTCTCAGCTATGACATTTATAAAAAAGAGTAAATGTCAATGAATGAGAGGTTTGTGGAGGGTTGTTCCTATAACTCTTTTAACTCTGTGGTGTAGAGCAAATTGAAGTACTTAGTGGCCCTCCTAGCTTTGAACAATGTCCTCAACTCGATGACCGCAAGCCCACAAGACTGGGAGGATAAGGTAAAATATTGCGTGTGAATACTGTTCATGACAAATAAATACCTAATCACAAAAGCATCTTTTATGTTTGAGAATGCGCCGTCCTTTAGCCATATAGCTGGGGTAGAGTTTATTCTTGGTATTTCTGAGTATAAGCAGGTGACCAAGGCCCACCAATCCAAACATTCCGAAACAAGCAATTGACACTTTCATCCTCTAAAACCATAAGCTCTCCAGGCAGCACCAGCTTGGAGCCTTCAGTAATTATTCTTTTAATCCTGGGGAGGGGGTGGGGGAGGTAATGTGCAAGGGGGAGGGGCAAAATTTCTTTTAAAGTAAACCAGTATCATTTCCCTACTATTCCTCCTCTCCCTAAAAATCAAACTTCTTGAAGGAAATATCTATCCTTGCCATCTCGACATCATTTTCCACATTCATCTCAACCTTCCCCATCCTGCTCTGCCCCTGACCCCATTCCTCCATTCATGGAGCTCTCAGGAAAGGCTTTTCTTCTTAGGTCCCTTTGCGTGTCCAGCGTATTACAGCTGGCCACTAAATGTTGGCATCTCTCTCTCTCTGTCTCTCTCTCTCTCTTTCTCTCCCCTCATTCTCTCTCTCTCTCTCTCTTTGCCAGTCCTGGGGCTTGAACTCAGGGCCTGGGTATGGCCCCTGAGCTTCTTTTTCTGAAGGCTAGCACCCTACCACTTGAGCCACAGTGCCACCTCTGTTTTTTTCTGTTTATGTGGTGCTGAGTAATTAAACCCAGGGCTTCATGCATGCTAAGCAAGCACTCTACCACTAAGCCACATTTCTAGCCCAATGTTAGCATTTCTCAAGGCTACTTGTTTTCTAATTTTCAACTCTATCCCTGAGCAATTATGCATATGCTTTCATATCATCTAAATACTCTGACCTGTCTTAAAATGGCCAGGTCTATATATTAACTACCTACTTAATACATCCACGTGAATGCCCAACCAAAGATCCTTTGGATCTTAAAATGGCAATGCAGTCCCTAACACCATCTCTTCATTTGCAAAGTATTCCCAGATACTTCCTTCTCACCCATCCTCTGTAGGCACCCCACTTGTGAGTCCTAGGCAAGCATTATCAGAATTCTTTCCATATCCCAGCCAGTTAATATTCATGGAAAGTCTGTGAGATAGGTAGTATCATTAGCCACTGCCACTGTTTATGTGTGTGTACCAGTCCTAAGGCTTGAACTAGAGCCTGGGCACTGTCCTTGAGCTTTTTTGCTCTAAGCTGATGCTCTACCACTTGATCCAGAGCTCCACTTCTGGCCTTTTGATGGTTAAAATGAGATAAGAGTCTCACAGACTTTCCTGCCTGGTCTGACTTTGAAGTATGATCCTCAGATCTCAACTTCCTAAGTAGCTAGGATTACAGCCACCAGTGCCTGGCAGCCATTTTTTTTAATGAGGAAACTGGAGAATGATGGAAGAAATGACTTCGATCAAGACATATTGTACACATTAACGGACATTTTAAACGAAAACTCCTTTGTACAACCATTGGAAAATAATAAATATGAGGAAACTAAGACCCAGAGAGACTGAGTCTTATATGGAATTGGGACTTGTCTCTGCTCAGTCTTGCTGCTAAGCTCTTGTCCTCAGAACCAAAATGTTCTGTTGCTTTTAAGAGCATCTTCATGTTTCTAATGATGAAGACTACTGTCACTTACATAGCATTTTTTTTGTCAGTCATGGAGCTTGAACTCTAGGCCTGGGTACTGTCCCCTAGCTCTTTAGCTCAAGGCAAATGCTCTACCATGAGCCACACCACCACTTCTGGTTTTCTGATGGTTAAGTAGAAATAAGAGTCTCATGGACTTTTCTGCCTGAGCTGGCTTTGAACCGTGATGCTCAGATCTCAGCCTTCTGAGTAGCTAGGATTACAGGGGTAAGCCACCAGTGCCCGGCTTACATAACACTTTTAACAGAGCATAATTTTGTCTTCCTAAGAGTACTTTATATGCATGTATAAAATAAGGGAACCCATTAAAATGTGAAAAACTAATAGAGGAGATGAGTTTGGTTAAAACAAGTGTATAAGTATCACAATGAGACCCCTTATAAAAGTAATATATGCTAATATACATTACTAAACCCTCATGGAAAGTTAGATAATTATGAACACCACTGGGAACCTGGGACAGAATCATAAGTTGTCTTGCTGAATAGCCACAGAGTATTGTGTTAGGGAAATCACTGAGATCCCTGTACTCCTGGGTTTGTAGGTCAGATTCTCCACATGGGAATTTGAGCTTCAGGGGATCAAATCACTGCTGTCTCAGAGTCAAGACATTTACCTTCCACTGTAGCACAGAATGTACCAGAGTTCAGCTTGGCACCAACGCCTGATTCATCTTTAAGACTTGACAAGATATCAGACCCTGAAACCATTTCTCACATCCCTCACATCATATTAAGAGTTAATCTGGTATGTTTCGAACTTTTCCTTATGCTTTAAACTAGCATCCACATGTCTAATTTTAGACGTCAAACTTTTCTGGCCAGATGCCACTGCTGATTGTGTGTTCTGAACAGTATGTTCCTTGAACAGTGATAAAACTCACTATTCAGAAACAGCTGAATGGTTGCTAGTAAAACAGGTACAAAAGTATAGAGGAACAAGCTGATTATTATTTTCTTCCTTTGATGTATCCACTGAGAATTGATGAAATCCAACTGGCTAAATATGTAATTAAAAATACGTGGAAATTACTTAAGTATCACAAAACATTAATAAAACAAATACACTAAAATTGTTTTGCAAAAAGAAGGCGGCAAATGCAAATTAAAGCCATAAAGAAGCACCACTTCATGGCCACTTAGATACTTGAACAAAACTAAGGCCTATGCCACATGGTGGCATGCGCCTGTATGATGCTGCTTGGAAGGTGAGCGACTGGGGCAATATGGTTTGAGGCCAGCCCAGGGGAAAAGGTCAGAGAGATCCCTCTCACTAACAGTCCACACACATACTCCCAGCTAATTGGGAAACAAAGGTAAGGAGGGAATCCTTGTCTCAGGCTAGCCTCTGGGGGGTGGGGAGAAGCAACCAAAGAACAACAAAACCCCCACAAGACTTGGTCTAAAATTAAAAAACAAAATGACTAGGGTATGGCTCAAGTGGTAGAGCACTTACGTAACAAGCATGAAATCCTACCAGTACCACAAAAAGAACACACAAACAAAACCTAGGAAAAATAATGAGTAACACAGGCTACAGAAAATCCCAATACATTGTATAACACCACAGAAAGCACTCATAAAGTTACTGTATGAGCCAGCAATTTCACTCTAGGTCTATAACAAAGACAGTTTCAACTTATGTTCACAATAACGAGTAATTCTGTCACCGCGGAATGGAAAGCATAACCTCAGCTCATCTATTTTCCCTTAACTATATGTTTCCTATATGTATGAGTGAATTACTGTGTAATGCTACCGAATAATGCTTACATTCTTCCCCTTGATAAGTCTGTAATTCTAAAAAAAATAAATGATGAAAGAAAAATTATGCCTGAAGGAGAAAGGGAAAAAGGAAGAGGATTAATAATTTTGAGATCCACTGCAACTACTGATGAAACCAGCATAAGGAGGTTGGAAGCAGCAAGGCTCTGAGGAGGGGAGACGCCGGCTCTGCTGGAGGAAGTGAAGTCCTAGCTAGCAAGGGGGAGCTGGGCTAATGAAGGTGAAAGAGGATGGATACTGTCCAAACAGATTGTCTGCAAGTATGAAAAGAGACCAATAAGCCGGGCACTGGTGGCTCACGCCTGTAATCCTAGCTACTCAGGAGGCTGAGATCTGAGGATCGCGGTTCAAAGCCAGCCTGGGCAGGAGAGACCGTGAGACTCCTATCTCCAATAAACCACCAGAAAACCGGAAGTGGCGCTGTAGCTCAAGTGGTAGAGCACTCGCCTTGAGCTGAAGAGCTGAGGGACAGCCCCCAGGCCCAGAGTTCAAGCCCCATGACCGGGGAAAAAAAAAAAAGAAAAGAGACCAATAAAACCTCCTGAAATTGTATTAGGAAGCCTGCTGGAAGGGAGGACTGATTGGAATATAATATATACATGTGTGGAAATCTTCCCCTGTACAGCTGATGTATGATAATAAAAAAAGAAAACCCATGCTCACCCAAAAATCTTTGCACAAATTTCTTAGCAATACTTTTTCCAATAGCCATAAAGTAGAAGTAACCCAAGTGTCCCCCAATTGATGAATGGATAAACGAAATGTGGTACAGCCAGACAGTACCATTATTGTGCAACAGTAAAAAGAATGAGACACTAATATGTCATGCTAAGCATAAGAAACTAGATATAAAAAAAGATATAAAAGAAGATCCATTGCAAGATTCCATTCAAATAAAATGTCCAGAGTAGGTGAATCCATGAGACACAAAGTAGCTTGCTGGTTACCAGGGAGTGGGGAGAGAAGGGAATTAGAGCAGACTACCAATAGGTGAAGGGGTTCTTTGCAGGATGATGATGTTATGAAAATAGATAGTGGTGATGGTTTTACAACATAGTGAATACATAAAATGAATGGAATCTAAGTTTAAAATGATGAAATTTATGGCATGCGAATTATAATGCAACTTAAACAAAACAGAATGTTCAAGCCACAGAATACACAATGATTCTCTAGACAAAGGATCAAAATGTCAAATTCAAAAATGGGTAACATTTTAAGAATTTAAGGTATTTTAAAGAAGGCTCTTGACCAGAGCACAAATAGAGGTGATATAACACCTAAAAACCAAGTGATACCTGTTTTATATTATAAAAATACATTAGAGATTGTTTAAAATTGTTAAAAGGAAAGCATAGTTTCTTTTTCCTTCTCCCTTCACCCTTTGTTTTGCAATACAGGGTTTAAATTCAGGAACTTGTCAGACAAATGGGTATTCTACCACTTGAATCATGCATCCAGACCCCAAATTTATAAAGTATGTATCAGGAAAAACAAAAACAAAAAACTATGAGGAGCTGGGTGTGGTGGCACAGACCTGTAATCCCAGCTACTCATGAGGTATAGATGGTGAGGACCAGGGTTCAAAGTCACCCTGGAGCAAAATAAAAGGTTGGGGGGAGAGCCCACCTCCTATTTCAATGAACAAGCAGACAGGGTGGCATCCTACCTAGGGCCCCAGCTTCCAGGGAGGAAGAGGTGGGAAGGCCAAGGTTTGAGGGTAAAAACAAAAGACTTTACTTGAAAAATAACCAAAGTCGGGCGCCAGTGGCTCATGCTTGTAATCCTAGCTACTCAGGAGGATGAGATCTGAGGATCATGGTTCAAAGCCAGCCCAGCAGGAAAGTCTGTGAGACTTTTATATCCAATTAACCACCAGAAAACCAGAAGTAGTACTGTGGCTCAAGTGGTAGAGTGCTTGCCTTGAGCTGAAGAGCTCAGCGACAGCGCCCAGGCCCAGAGTTCAAGCCCCATGATTGACAAAAAAAAATAACCAAAGCCAAAAAAGAGCTGGGGACATGGCTCAAGTGATAAGAGTGTCTAGTAAACTCAAGACCCTGAGTTCAAATACCAGTATTGGTATTTGAGGAAATAAATAAAAAACAAAATTATACACACAATCTATGAGACTTAACAGAATCATTGGCTTAATAAAAAAAATGTAAGCAATGCAGCATTACCTTAATTGTAAAAGAAATATATATTCTTTCATTATTTGTACCGACATGTAGAGACATATAACAGTATTAACTTTCAAAGCAATATAAGAAATATACTGTGTATGGCATAGACTTTTTTTTGTAAATTATATATACACACAGAGAAAAGCCAAAAAGGCAATATATCACAATATATCAGTCTTTCAGAAATGTTATGGATGATTTTTGCTGTCTTCTTTGCTTAATTTTAATTTTTCAACTTTCTATAGCACACACACACACACGTAAAATGGAGGGGGGGAAGCTACTTGCAACACATCCATTTACCTATCCATCCTACCTTCTCCTATTTCCACACAGATACCCCAGCAATGTTATATCAAGTTTTCATTCCAGAGGCCACATGCTTCTCATTCTCCACATTACCTGGAAGATGTCCATTAGAATCAAGGCTGCCAGCAGCTTGGTGACCATTTCAAAACGGCACATCTTCATTTTTCTCCTCTAAATGAAGAGGGGAAAAAAAAAAAACAACTCCATTTCAGTAGACTTACTAAAGAGGTTTAGTGGAACAAAGATACTGTAGATATTTTAATTATAGACAGACATTTTGATGGTCAGGAAGTGACCATCTGTAAGTAGCTAATGACCACAAATGCCATTAAACCATTAGGTTTAAACCATCCAGAGATAAGGAATTACAAATCCAGACAACTTGGGTGATCTGCTCAGAATGAACTCTGTCCATTTCTGTACTCCTCCAGACTCTTCTACTAGAGTTGCTAGGAGATACACTGTTTCCCTATCTATGAATGTTCCCTCAGGAAACCATAAAATCAAACTATAAGCACACAGTCTCAACTTGGACCTTTAGCTCCCAGTTTCTAGGAGTTCTCTAAGAGTTCTTCACACACATCTTCCATTCGTCTACCTTCCTTGCAAATGCAATCATGCCCATTTGATTGGGAGGGAGGAGATGACGAGGCTGGGAATGGTACAACTCAGGTTATATAAGGTGACTGACTCCCTTCCCCAAACATGCACGATCCAGAGGAGCTTAAAGGTAAAACAAGTGTCTAACATGACTTTCTGAAGGTGGCAATGAGAAGAAGAAGAACATGAGTAGACAGCAATTCTAACAAAATTATAGAATACCCAGCATTCAGCCAGTATTTACGATACTGTAAGGAGTAAACAGAAAGGTAAGAGGACCTTCGAGGCTAACACTTTCCCAGTCATTAACCAATTAAATTAGAGAACGGAACAGGTTGGTTCATACCCCCAATCAAGTTGCCTTATTATAATTAAGTAGGAATGAACAGCATAGGAAAATGGAGGACGTTTTCCTTTTTATCTTTTTAGTCCCTGGTTCCCATCTTTCTTTAGAAGCAGATTTTTTCACAGAAGATTAAAAGATAGTACCGCTTTTGTCTTAAAACTTCCCTTTCTAAACAATACTCAGAATATCGTATTTGGTAGATACCTGTCACCAGACAGTACATGCCAAGCAGGCAATGGATCAGGGCTTTCTCTATACCATAACTCTTCGCTTCTGTATTGAGCGCAAAAAAGTTAGAAATGTTTACCTGGCTTTCGTGCCTTGGAAGGAAGTTTAAATGATGCTAGGCCTCAAACTGATTTCCCCGGCTCAGTTGCAGTGAGAGTGTCTTCAGGATGGGATGTTGTTGACGTGAATGCTGAGAAGTGAATGCTTTTCTTTTTATAAACACCCCAGCAGTAGCTTGGCAGTGGCACATTACCCCATTTGTGTTCTGCTATTTATATCTGGCCCCCACACTATGCCTTGGAATCACTGCTGTTAACACTTTAAGTCTCTAAGAGACTTGTAAAGCCACCAGAAATTCCTTATAACCATGCAAGTTCAGTCCATGGTTCTGAGCTTGTCCTTGAAAGGAATCACTTCCTATTCTAACCCTTGACACGGGATGTCAGAGTATAGCATAGCGTCCTGTTAGCTAGAGGGCTCAGGTGACTAAGAGGGCTTCCCTGCTGTGACGGCCAGGGCCGCAGCCATTCATTCCTTCAGTCAGCTTAAGGTATTTCAGGTCATGGGCCAGGTACACAGTCAAGAAAAAAAAAGTGCTGAAAAAGAACCACCGTCCAAGACAAGACACAAGCGTGCATACTTGATTGAGGTACAATACCCATCCTAAGCACAGACAGTGTCCAGCGAGAACTCGGGGAGGAAGTTGCTGGTCATGCCGGCAGTGTAGTGAGGTGCATGTGCACTGGCCGCAATGCTAAACAACACTTAGGCTTTCACTGACCAAAGATTGAAAAGAAACCCTCAAGATGCCCTAGGAAATGGATGCATGTTTACATAAAAATATATTAGCAGAATGTTGGTAGCAGCGTTATTCACAAAGGCCCAAAGACCACCCAAATTCCTAGAATGGATAAAGGGAAACAATTCATACAATGGGATTTTATGTAGTGTTAAATGAACAAACTCTAATAATATGTAACAATATGAATAAATCTTACAAACAAAAATTTGAACAAGGTTTATACTATACACTTTATATAGAGTACAAGAATCAGGCAAAACCCATTTATGTTACTAAAAGTGGACATCCTGGGTGGTAGGCAGGAGTTGGAAGGACTACAAGGGAAACATCTAGAATACTAAATAGCTTTGGGTTTTGGTTCTAGGTAGCCATTATTCTACTATACTTGCTCAGTTTGTAAAAATTCAGTACATGTGGGTGCCAGAGGCTATAATCCTAGCTACTTAGGAGGTTAAGATGTGAGGATCAAGATTCAAAGCTAGACTGTGCCTCAAAGTCTGTGAGACTCATCTCTAATAAACTACCAAATATCCAAAAGTGGAACTGTGGCTCAAGAGGTAGAACATTAGCCTTGAGCAAAAGAAGCTGAGGGACAGAGACCAAGCCCTGAGTTCAAGCCCCTGGACCAGCACAAAAAAAAGGAAAGAAAAGAAAAAAGAAGAAAAGGAAAGGAAAAGAAAGGAAGGAAGGGGAGGGGAGGGGAGTGGAAGAGAGGAGGAAAGGAGGGGAGGAGAGACGAGGGGAAGGGAGGAGAGGGGAAATAAGGGAGAGAGAGAGAAAGGAAGGAAGGAAGGAAGGAAGGAAGGAAGGAAGGAAGGAAGGAAGGAGGGAAGGAGGGAAGGAGGGATGGAAGGGAGGGAGGGAGGGAGGGAGGGAGGAAGAAAAGTGAGAAGAAGAGAGGTTCTGAGTGTAAGATACAATGCTTTTCTATACATACACATTGCTTTAATAAAATACTGCAAATTGTTGGAAACTATACCCATGCTTATAACATGCTTCTGCCCGGTTCCTCTGTGCCAACATTCCTTGCAGTCTTACTGTGGATACTGGTGAACAACAAACACAAGTCCCCCAGGCTGCTGCTGGTGAAGGAGGAAGGTAAGCACGCTCTCATCACATCTGTGCCTCTGGAGCTGAGCCCAGGTAAGTAGGGAAGAGAGGGCACTGCCACACGCTTAAAGGTGTGCTAGAAATCTGTGTTTGTTATCATTTTTAAAAGAAATTGGTGTATTATTGTTTGCAGTCATCTTACCAAATTCCACTGTGTGCCCAGTATAAAGCAAAGTTGTAGCCTATATGATATATTTTTGTGCACTAATTCATACTCTCACTTCGTAATTTTTTTAATTTTGAGCCAAGATTTCTCTCCAAAGCCCAAGTTGCCCTCAAATTCAAGATCCTCCTATCTTAGTCTCCCTATTGCTAGAATCACAGCCAAAGATAACCCACCTCGCTAGATTCTTTCTTTTGACATCTGATTTGACGCTCATGCTAATACACAGCCAGCCATCTTCATCTGCAATCACTGGCTGCTGCCAGTGATGCTTTTGTATTGTTATTCTGACTAGGACACGCACTTATTCTCAGAAATGTACAACTAGTGTTGCCCATGAAACAAGACTAAAATACTTAGGATAATACTAGTGAAGCGGCAGATATAGCAAAACTTTACAATAATTCAATAACTGCCAACCATTAGCTAGGGTCATTTACAGTAAGGACACCCTTAATGAAATAAGCCTTTATTTGCTCTATTTTGACTAGTAATGATTTCTTTCTCCTTCTTTCCTTCCTTCCCTCTTTCCCTTCCCTTCCCTCCCTCCCTTCTTCCCTTCTTCCTTACCTCCCACCCTCCTCCCTCCCTCTCTTCCTCCCTCTCTCTCCCTCTCCCCACCCCCTCTCCTCTCTCACCAGACCTGGGGCTTGAACTCAGGGCCTGGGAACTGTCCCTGAGCTTTTTTTGCTCAAGGCTAACATTCTACCACTTAAGCCACTGTGCCATTTCTGGCTTTTCCTGTTTATGTAGTACTGAGGAATGGAACCCAGGGCTTCATGCATGCTAGGCAAGCACTCTACCACTGAGCCACATTCCCAGTCCTAGTAATGATTTCTTATAAGCTGAATCTTCTTCTTTTTTTTTTTTTGTTAGTCATGGGGCTTGAACTCTGGGTTTGGGAACTGTCCATGTACTCTTCAGCTCAAGGCTAGCGCTGTACCGCTTGAGCCACAGCGCCACTTCTGGTTTTCTAGTGGTTTATTGGAGTTAAGAGTCTCAGGGAGTTTCCTGCCCTGGCTGGCTTGACCCGTGATCCTCAGATCTCACCCCCCTGAGTAGCTAGGATTACAGGCGTGAGCCACCGGCGCCCGGATTAAGCTGAATCTTTATTTCCTCCTCATGTTTGATTTTGTGTGTGTGTGTGCGCTATTAATGTGGTTTGAATTTAGAGTTATCTGGTGTTTTACCACTTGAGCCACTCATCTGCTTCCAGTTTTTTTGCTCACTAATTGGAAATAGGAGTCTCAGAGATTTTCCTACCTGGGCTGGCTTCAGATCTCAGCCTCCTGAGTAACTAGGGTTACAGGTATGAGCTACCAGTGCCTGGATTAAGTTTGATTTTTGTTTTGCTGAGAATCTTGGATTTATCTTCTAGTATTATACAAATGTATGCTAAAGTAGCTTTTTCTGCTGTTAAACTGATACTCTTAATGCCATAGTACTCTATTCAGGCTAAGGTATCAGTTAACAGCTCCTAAATGATGAGTCTGCTACCAAAAGATCAGAGTTAGAGCTAGAAAGCTTCAACAGGTCTTATTTGTGTGTGGGAGCCGGGGGGGGGGGGGGGGGGTTTTATTTTGTTCCGAGGGTAGGGTTGTGGATTGTGGTGCGGGAGGGGGGGGGGGGGGGGAGGTGCCAGGTATTGAATTCTCGACCTTCTGTATGTTAGGTAAGTGCTTCATTAGTAAGCTTTATCTCCAGCAGTCAGATCACTATTTATTAACAAGATTGCTGCATACAATAAATTTTATGTCTAATACAAGAGATATAAGTTTCTAGAAGCTATTGTATACACTATAAAAATACTGTAGTGGCACTGTGGCTCAAGTGGTAGAGTGCTAGTCTTGAGCAAAAGAAGCTCAGAGACAGCACCCAGCCTTGAGTTCAAGCCCCAGGCAAACAAACAAACAAACAAAAAACCTCTTACTTTAAAAAATGACATTTTTTTCTTTCATCCAAAGATAGTAATGCTCTCCTGAAGGCAAGCCTCAACAACTAGAAAGCTTTTCAACTCAAAGAGCCATCACACAGTGACCCCTATCATAATGCACAGAAATCAAGGTGTCGTGCACTCTTTAACTAGATTTGTGGAAGGAAGATGAAATATTTTCTGGTGCTCTGCTATACACTGTGCAATTGATTTTTTTGTCATGTGGTTATATCTGTAGTACAGTGGTAAAAGCCTCTGTGTCATTCATTAATGAACTTGACTGTTCACTGCTGGCATATGATTAACAAATGAGTTCTTAGTTACAATCTCCTAATACTAGCACCATTTTAATAGCTCCAGATCTTGTCTCGAAAACAAACACAAAACAAAAAAAGTTCATTTTAGGAAATCGCTTGAAACATAGTGCAAACATGTGTTGAAAAGTAATAATGAAATTCTCCTTATATGACTAATGTAAACTAAATTTTTTTAAAGCTCAGCTTACAAACACCAAGAATACATACAGAGACAAGTTGTCAGATCAATAAACTCACATAGTTTCAAAGAAAGTTGTGTAGGGATGTTAAAAAAATATCTGTACAGGGGCTGGGAAGGTGGCTCCAGTGGTAGAGTGCTAGCCTTGAGCTGAAGAGCTGAAGGACAGCGCCCAGGCCCAGAGTTCAGGCCCCATTACTGGCAAAAAAAAAAAAAGAGAAATATCTGTACAGTATAAGTAAGTACCATTTCTCTGGAATTTATTCCATAAAGCATCCATCGAGTGCTGAAAGTACTATGGACTTAAAAAAAAATGGTGCTGGGGCCAGGCACTTGTGGTTCACGCCTATAATCCTAGCAACTCAGGAGGCTGAGATCTGAGGATCATGGTTCAAAGCCAGCCCAGCCAGCAAAGTCATGAGACTCTTATCTCCAATAAGCCACCAGAAAACCAGAAGTGGTGCTGTGGCTCAAGTGGTAGAGCGCTAGCCTTGAGCTGAAGAGCTGAGGGACAGCGCCCAGGCCCAGAGTTTAAGCCCCACGACCGGCAAAGAAAAAAAAATGGTGCTGGGGATTGAACCCAGGGCTTTGAACCTAAAGCTTTGCGAGTACTCTGTTGCTAAGTTATACCCCAGCACCATGGAAAAGGTGTCAGCA